GGATCAGCTCAACTTTGTGTCCCTGAGAAACTTTGATAACGATGCTGCATTTCCAATATACAAAACACATCCGGAATAACAGACTGCTAGCGATACTCTGGCAGGTCTATGGCAAGTTTTCCTTACAATTTGCTGTCAATAGCGGTGTGCGACAGGGCTGCCCTATGTCCCCATTCCTCTTCAACTTCGCAGTCAAAGACGTTCTGTCGAATGCTCTAGAAGGTTTCCACCCTTTTGGCCTAGTGCTTCTATCGGGTGAGCGCGCGACCGACTTAGATTACACTGATGATATCGCCTTACTTGTTGACGATGCTCAGCGTACGCAACTCATTCTTGATCGTTTGGCGCTTGAAGCACCTAAGTATGTCATGAGCTTCTTCCCATCGAAATTTAAAGTACTGCTCAAGGATTGGCTTTCATTTGCGCCTGTGATTGCTCTCGAAGGTGCACAACTTGAACAGGTAGATAGTTTCGTCTATCTGGAGCTGTGTTTCTGCTGACGGCACTATCAACAAAGACGTTTCTCTTCGTACCGCTAAAGCTCGATCAGCATTTGTCAATCTGAGGCCCTTGTGGCGTCGTCGCGACGTCTCATTCTCGCTAAAGGGCCGCGTTTAGACTGCATCAGTTCACGCAGTATTGTTGTATGGGTGTGATTCCTGCCCGATCCGCGTGTAACATGTGCGTCGTCTTTCTGCCTTCCATAACGGTTCCTTAAGGAGGAATGCTCGGATTCGGTGTCAAAGTCGAGTTAATAGTACTGACATTCAAAGTCGCATCTTAGAGAATGAGAGTATTCCATTCAATAAACTGGTTTTGTTGCGCCAGTTGAGATGGCTCGGTCATGTTCTAGGCATGACACCTGAGCGTCTATCGCGTCGCGCTCTATTGCTTGTCAACGACCTGGTGTGGTGACCAGCCATCTACATGGCGGCAGCAACTGACGTATCTGAGTTCATATCTAGCCGCTGTTCGATCCGTACGTCTTCCAGAATGTGGACGTAAAGATGAGGAGTATCAATGGCTTAGCTTTCTAGAAGACATGACCCGCAACCGGAATCAGTGGAAGAATTGTGTACAGTAATGTATTGATTCAATTGTTTAATACTACAAACATTAAAAGGTACAAAAAAGAGAAAAATCGACGCGAGAAAAACAAACTGGAAAGGTTTTGTCCTACTTTTGGTCACAAGGTTTCATTCTTCCTACGGCATATTAGCTGAAGTGTGTTTCTCACCTTCAACTACTGTGCCACCATGATTATGACGCGATGGCTCTCTCTGACCCTCTGATCTCCATGGTTTTCTGTTGGCGCTTGGTCTGGTTGATAGACTGCTGAGATAACTCACTCACTCAAGCTTCAGTAGTAACAAATACAACAGCTTGTGGTCCCCCAGACATCACTACCTAACTCAAATGCAAGCCATAACCACAACACTAGGCGTTCCTCTAACAAAGTGACCCTTGCAAAACTGACAAGCAACCACCACGCCACTTTTCCTGGGCACCAAACCTCTCCTGAACGTCTAACTACATCATTTGTAACACTTACCTCCAAACATGGTTTCTCCTACCAGGTTCCGCTGAAATCAGGAAATGAGCCAATACTATTGGCAGCTACGCCGTTTTTGCATCCAAGAACACTCAAACCCCAGTGTCTTTCTGAAGGTTTACGCGCGATAATTTTTTTCATTTTACACTGATGTTGATTAGCAAAGTATTCACCTCGGCAGACGTTCGATAGATGACCCAGACATATTTTAATTGCATCGTATTCACCGCAACCATCCTACGGGACTTGTCAATCACTTGCTTTTATCCCGGGATAAATCTTTGTTGATTGTTCATTGTAACATCAGCAGCTGCAGTTTCTGTACCCACGCCAATGGATAACCTGAGATGTGGTGCTGAAGTGGTACGTATCAGATTGCCCCTCCTCCAACCGCGACCCATACTCTTCTAAAACAGCTTCCAGACCACGTGGTACTCTATACATACGATGTGCCAATGCTCAAGAATCAACCTGGAATTCTGAAAATATAACAGATGGACGACCTAAGCAAATGGAACACCGTAAGCAACGTGCTTGGCGTCATGACTAAGCCCCCCAAACTGACCCGAATTTCAAAAACTATGGTTTTGTTAAACGCTGTCGATGTAGTGGAAGCCGTCTTGCTTTCCACAGCTTGTCTTAGGAAGAGATTCTGGTTACTACTTGTCTGCCTAGAAGTTCCGTAAAACGAGCAGAAGCGAAGAAAAGAAAGCTAAGTAGTTTACCGCGTGGATACCGCAGCAGGACTATTTTCTTCCCCGCGTCGCCCGGGTTTTTGAGCACGTTGAATGCAAGGAAGCAGCTATCTACCGCAAACTATATTCCTGGAAACGTGCTATTGGACAACCTTGTAGCTGTTTCTCTCTCATGGCTGCTAAGGTCTGTAAGCTACCAAGGGTATGGTCGAAGGATAATGAAGACAGCACTTCAAACTACGCAGAGGTCATTTGGAAACAGACTGCCACCCTAACTCCCGTTCAAGCGGCAAACAAAACTATCAATAGACATAAAGCGCCACCTCAGCAGGTCAATGAAGTTGGGACCACGTTCGAAAGGCACATTGGTACTAATAATAACACGATGTGTCAGCTGTAGGGTGTAACGGCGCTTCGCTGCCGTGCTACCACCACCAGTTACACGCGAGCTGAGTACACCGCGAGGACGCCCACCGCTACTCGGATTCGAACCCGCACCGCAAGACTGTGAGATAAGATCGTTACCACTCGGCTACGAGCCGGCACATTGGTAGCAGGTTCAAATAAATTATGGAGCAGCTTATGCCATCCTTTGTCAATCATTCCCGCACTGTGCAAAATGAGTCCAGAACGGACTAAGTATGATGCCGGCGAACACAAACCCGTCACTGAACCGATAATACTCGTAAAACGACCAGCGTCATCGACGCTAGAACTCGTACGTGCATATTGGGAAAGCCTGATCGACAACGATTAATAGACTACGCATCTGTGCTAAGCAATCAGTTTAGCAAACTGCAGTCATATTTGTTACGCTGAATATTCGAAGGAAAATACCGAGCCAACGCATATTTCCGCACTTTCCATGATCCTGACATCTGGTTGCTATGACCGATTGGGACTCATTGAAAGGTAACCTCCCTGATTACTCCTGACTTCAGTTTTTGAAATTTTCATGCAAGCAGCTCGTAACTACTCCCGAAAATAACCGTCCGTTCTACCAAGCTATCGTAGTTTATAGAATGCAAACTCGTAAATGCATGTCACTTATGGATGCAGTTTAGCGCGTTTACAGGGCCCGTCTCCGTCCTGAAACTTGGAGCGAGTACCTGGGCAAGCGCAACTACTGCGAGTCACTTATCGGTGAGGAGAATGGGGCTCACCAAAAATACCTAGATTGCAGTTTTACCAAAAAAAGCTCTCATTAAAGAAAGTTAACTTCATTCGCAAAATGAGGTACGATTTCCCCACACTTAATACTACAGTTAGAGTGGCACACAGCACCGGAGTAGTCGAAATGCTACAGATGCAGTAAGTCGCTAACTTCCAATGTGATGTTCACCAGCGTTACAAAACCATATCCATTGCCACGAGTTCAGGCTTAATCACACTACGTCCAAACCCCCCATAAATATTTTGAGGACACTGATCTCACTGCAGTCCAATAGTTCTCCAGGTATCGATGACATTTACCAGAAAGCGGTAAATGTAATAACAACAACAAAAACGCTAATGGAGACATTATCAAACCTCTTCCAAACGTGCATGGATAAACATACGGTGCATGCCATGTGGAAACGTAGGATAATCACGAAAAATTTAGAAGTAGCAGTCGCCCGGAGCACGCTAGCCATCGCCTAGTGTTCATCCTGTTTGTACTCTAAAAGGTAATGAAGACAATCATTGCTGAGACGTTAGACAAAGCTGCAAAATCATGGCCCCGGACAAGCGCGGATTCCGCCTGCAGCGATCACGCGCAACCAGCTACTGTTTGCAAGCAGTATTTGGACCGAAACGGCCAACAAAGAGACTTGGACCGATGTCATTTAGCGCGAATTTTCCAAAGCTTTCGACCAATTGTATCACCACAATCTGCGCCACAGAATTAATAGCCATGAATTTGGGGGTCATGCCCTTGAATGCACCAGTAACTTCCTGCAAAAGCGGATAGTGCAGGCAACAGACCGGAGTATACAAACTGGCCCAAATTCATGTGGAATGTATGGTTCCACGAGGATTAGAACAGAAGGTGCGTCTGTTTCTCGTGTTCGTTAAAGTGCTTACGTCGCTGGTTACCTCTGAGTTCTGAATGTTCAGAGATGTTAATATGTTCTGGGCGATCAAGATACATTTCGACGGGACGTAGACAGAGCGTATGATTGGTTATTCCATAATCTGCTGCAGTGTCATTTTCACAATTTTTCGTCCTCATTCAGGCTATTCCACAGGACATGTTAAGCGCTTATATTTTGCTCTTATTAAATCAGAGTTCCGTTTCCCCATTATTCCTGGTATTTTCGTCATGCGAACCTTAAAATCTATACAATAAAAATCTTTTGTGTACGACGAAATATGCAACGAAATCCAGCAATTCGAAGTCCAATGGCATGTTGCTATCTTCTGCTTCACATTGCTTAAATAACCACTGAGGCACTTTGCTGTTGTTTATTTCGAAGTTGTGCACTATGAAGTGAACTAGAACAAGCAGCAGTGTCCTAGGAAATATTGTCATCTGCCACACTGGGTATGATTCGGTGACATGGCTGTTTAACTAGTACAACCAAATACCATCCAATTGAAGCTTACATTGCGCAAGAAGGTTATTTATGCTGGTCAATTTGTAATCCCACACCGAATCACATCCTGTCTGGATGTTACCCACATTTTTTGTTCTGTAGTTGCAAGCTGCTCTTTCTATTAGATGCTCCAGCAGTTCATTTGCACTTTTCTTTCATTCAAATTTCACATCATTAGCCCTGGGAATTTGCTGCTAATTAAGAACCAGATACGATAAACTGAAATGGTGTTCTCAGATGGAGATGGTACAATGGATAATGAGGCAGCCAATCACCTCTCAACGACAACCAGAGATGCGATGGAACCAAATGAAACGGGTAAGAGCTGTGTTCGATAACGTTCAGTTCGAACGTTCTAGAAGTCGTTGTAAAGAAGACATCACCAGGCAATTTTCGGAAGTACGGAAAGAAAACTCGATACGCTTTGCAACAAATTATAACAGCGAGACAGCAGAAAATTTATGAACAGCAGTGTGAGATTGATGAGCTGCGAAGAAGAATTCGGGAACTTTGCACAGAAAACAAATTTCTTCGTGAACAGAATTACTGGCAATCAAAAGCGTTGGAAAAAGTGGGTACAGAGCACAATTTTACCTTTCAATATGTTATGCCAATTAAGTTGAGCAACATTAATGGTACTGTTATAATGGATGAAGCATGTTCATTTCACCTATGACAACTTATCCTCTCATATATAATTCATTGGACACTGCTTCTCGCATCTCATCACTGCTTGTCCGCGGAGCAGTAATTACGGCACTACCATTAAATGCGTTTCTTGTAGCTTCAAACCGTGTCGCGGGTTCCGAAAATGAAAAATCAGACTAAGTTTACATTCGTAGTGGTTAGCCAATCTATTCATACATCTAAGCAGATCAGTTATGGCACCAGTCAAGACTGTGTCAAATGCGTCTCCTCTGTGTTGGCTGTATACTCATCAGCCTGCATTGAGAAATTGTTGAGGACTTTCTTTGTTCACCTACAAAGTACCGAAAAACCGCCTGAATGCAGCTTACACTCAAAGACGAGATGCTGAGATCAGATAAGAAAAGACCTTAAGGCTATGTCAGGTCAAGCTGCGTTGAATTAAGCAAAACATTAACTGAAATTGGACATCAGTCGCGCTTTTGGAACATAAATAACATTTAACCTTATGAGGTAGCAATGCATTTACAACCAGTCACAATCCTTAAGTCGTACTGTCTTCATAAACAGTAGTACATCGTCAATTTGATCTGCTGCCTCTCTTCAGTACAATCTTGGTGATCTACGGAATCAAGATTAACAGCAGGAAGTGGAGGACCTCAAGTAGAAACCTGAATGCATTGAACAAACGTTAAGTGTCAAATTGCCTAGACTTCTGTCAACATAATATCATAAACATCTGGCTATCGTACAGGCGCATCAGCGAAACGAACTCCTTTTGGCTTTCACTGCCACAAATCATAACCAGCCATTACACTGCAGCTAACACGAACAAAATACATTTTAAACAGGCAGTCCGCCTAGATTACGGTAGACGCGTCACGGATGCCGATTGCCGGTCATGTCATTTAATATCTCAAGTGAATCACAAGGTGGGTCACGTGAACTCCAGTCTGGGAAGCGAGACGGGTTAAAGTCCCCGGATCACACTGCGAAGCCGCACTGATGACGTGTCTAGTCAGGCAACGAAACGTCTACACAATAACCGCTCAGCTCGGAGAACATCTCAAAACCCGCATCCACACCCCGAGCTACGGATTTTCTCATTTATTTCAAACGTTCGGGTAAGCCAACAGGCAGCTACCAGGCAATAAAATGTTATTAAGCAAAATTATATTGTGCTAGGAAATGAGATCGTGGTTAGACGGGAAGCTAAGAGGAATGGGGAGAGACAACGAAACGCACAGCAGGAACGCCACTAAGGCCGGCTTCCAGTCATGTCAACAAGTGTATTCAGACAAACGTATTCATCGACTTTAAGACCCCAACCAGGGAGCCGTATAGCTCCAACCGAAACCAGCTCCGAAATGAGGGCCTTCATTCCTCTCAAACAGGTCATCGCTTAGGCCTCCCCTCCTCTTTCATCTACACCCCGGCGCGCAAACAAAGCATTTCGCGGAAGTCGGTGTGCTGGCCTGTGCAACACGTGATCGAGCCATTGGAGTCTGTTACGTGAAATAACGGTACTGAGCGGTTCAGTTCCTTTTCCTGTGCCGTAAACAAGCCGTCAAACACGTTCGTTGCTCACGCGATGTTCACACCAGATGTGAGCCAAAACTGCGAAGGCAACGATAGTCGAACATAGCTAGACACTTTAGGTCCGATGATCTAAGGGGCCAGGTTTCGAAACCGTACGGTAAAGTCAAACTTACCACTGCGTTTTACACTCTAATCTTCAGGGTAAGAGTGATATCGCGCCGGCACCATAGGTGGCGAAGGTTGGCAAAACACTTCGGTCATTTGCTATACGGTTCGTGATCTCATCTTCAATCCCAAGTGCGTTGATACAACTTCCCAGAAAGTAGAATTTCTGAACCAGTTCTAGCTGATCCTCACAAAGTGTCAGCGCAGAAAGTGGTTCAGGCCAATCTTGGAGGAAGGCTTTACACTTCGAGAGAGCGAAGCAAAGCCCGTAGCGGCGGACAGCCAACGCTAATCTGTGCAGTGCAGCTTGACACGTCTAGGAGCTGTCATATTTGAGGGCAATATTGTTCGCAAATACAAGTCACGAAGTTGTTCTCATGACAGTAGCTCCACATCTTCTAAGTTGTGTCCAGTGTACGTGATTTCCATGACCGTCAATAGCGTTGAAGAAGAAAGGTGACTACGAGCATCATTGTCTCACACCACTGGAGATACTGAAGAGCGACGATAGCTTGCCGTAAACGCACACTCTGCACTTGCTACGCGCGAATAATACGCGGATAATAGTTACATACATCTCGGGCACACCGTTCCTGAGTAGACCGTTCCAAAGGGCACATCGATCAACTGAATCGTGGACACCTTTGATGTAGAGCATCGCGACTACGGTGGTCCGTCTATAGGTGTGACGGTGCAGCAACAACTGACGTAAAGTATAGATGTGGTCGATGCAGCCACGACCACGACGAAACACGGCTTGCTTATCATGAATCTGCCTTTCACGATTGCCAGTCAGTCTGTGATGGATTACGGAGGCAAGTAATTTGGTGACGATGGGGATCAGACTGACTCTATTTTGGTTGCTGCATTCCGAACGCGAGCCTCCTTTGAAGATGGGAACGAAAACGGAGCGGCTCCAGTCGGTTGGGACCATTTCCTGCTCGCACAGTTTTATTACTTACTCCTGTAAATCGTCAACAAAAGCAGGGCGGCTGAAGTTGAAGAGGACTTGATGCAGATCATCTGATCCGGCGGTCTTGTTCAACTTCAACAGTCCGACCTCATGTTTGGCTTCCGAGCGCGAGGGCGGATCCAAAGGTGAAGCCCACGGAGCAGGGCGATCAGTGGCTGCCGAGGAACCTATCTATTCCCACCGATTAAATTGTTTTTCAAATTATTCAGTTCAGTGCTCCAATCGTTTTGACAAGTTGTGGAAGACCAAAGCGAAACCGCCGTAACACAAGTCGAAAAGAGGGTGACTAATCAACTAAAATGCTTGCAGCAACATGGAATGAGAACAGAAGTGACGCGCAACTCTAAAGCCAATGAAGACAAGCACCCCTCAAATGTACGGCTTACCGAAGATCCAAAAGGCCAACACAACTTTAAGACCTGTACTATCCATGTGTAACTCACCATACCACAAGTTGACGCGTTGGCTGGTTGGATTGCTTACACCGGTGAGACGAATGATGACAAATTATACTGTGAAGGACACATTCGACCTGATTGTCTGCTTACAAAACATGAATATTGCTGACATGATAATGTATTCAATGAAAGTACAGTCTTTGTTCACTAACATCTCATTAAGATAAACGGGGGATTTCTTATGCGAGTTTATCATGAGTAAGAATGTATTGTTACCGATTCCCATGAAATCTCGTGGGGATTTGCTGCTACTATGCGCAGCAAATGTGCATTGCTTATTTGAAGACAAGCTGTACCGATAGGTGGATGGTGTAACTCTGGGAAGTCCGCTTGGCTCGGTATTGCCTGACATCTTCATGACGATGGTTGAAATGGCATATGAGCCACACATCAACCAATTGCGTTTATACAGTCGATACGTAGATGACGCACTAATGATCGCCTCAAGTAGAGACGCTGTTCTATCTCTTTTCATTGTGTTCGATAACACCCATCCAAACGCCCGTTTCACCTGTGAACTGGTGGATAACAATTGCCTTCAGTTTTTGGATGTGCTATTGACTAGATGAGAAGACGACTCCATAAGGCGTTCTGTTCACAGGAAAGCTACATGGACAGGACTGTATGAACATTTCAACAGCTTCGCCCCTTTCCAACACAAGCGGTGCTTAGTCAAGACGCTGTTTAATCGGACCCGCCGACTAGTGGGATTCGGAATTGCTGTTTATCACACAGACACTACGGGCCAACTGATATCCAGAGGCGTTTATTCGATTTCACAGTCAGACGAAGGAAAACAGGCCGAAGATACTTACTGTGCCCAAACTCTCTCTACCTTCAACTACCTTTCAAAGGTGATATCACGGCTGCCCAACTTGTGAGACTTTTGTATACAGTGATTCGCCGGATACACAGTTCTGCCAAATTTGGCCCCATTTGGGGGACCAGGAATTTGCCCATGCCTCCAGTGAAACCTACGCAACTGAGCTCCGCCACAACTCATTTTATTTAACAATTCGTTTGTAACTGCGGAAGTAGTTACATTGGCAGAACAGATCGGTCGCTGAGTAAGCGCACTGGAGAGCATATACCAAAACGGATAGCTAAGCTGACACAACGAGCAGCCTAACAAGAAAAATTATCTAAGCTGCCGACATCATCTATCGCCAGACATCTAATGGATACAGGCCGTCAGGTTGACCTTGGGTCCACATTTACAGTTATCTATCGAAATGAAAACCCCAAAGTTTTTGGATTCGCCGAAGCTGTGGAACTTAACCCGATTGCTCTATCCTTTGTGTGCAGAAACAAGTAACAACTTCCCTAAATCTTTCCTGGAGCTCATGACCCTAAGGTCAAACTCATCGATCGGTTATTCATGCGTCTACGTACTTTCCCTTCGCGACCAATTTCGAACCTTCACGTGCTTCATACACAAGTTGTTAGCTTGCGAGTGAACAAGTAACACGAAATGGTTTCATCTCACATTACCAATCGTCTAATTGTCCTATTAAGAAGGAAAAAAGAACTCAGTGCTTTAAATTGTGAATAGTCTGTCCACTCTCGCCATAAATTGTTTCAATAACACCAGCTCTCCTGCTGCCCGTTTCACGTATAAGACGGAATAACTTTCGATGGTTTACAAAGGCAGCAGCCATTTCCATGTCCGAAGCACGATGAGACCACCAGGATCCGCGGTCGCTTCTGACTAGCACGGAGTTTTGCCCGGAGCACTTTGCGAGTTACTTTGTGCTCGCTTCCAGCCGGAATATGCCGGAAAACATCGATAAATCTCAGAAACCGCGAAGAAACCTAATGTCCATCTTGGCTATTGGAATTACATGAGGATTTACCTGCTGCTACTAAGGTCTGGTTTACATGCGACGAGTGAGCGCTCACTCAACCCTCATGTCAGCGTATTTCGGTACGCGTACAGAACTACTGGCTTCTTCAGTGGACTGGTGTCAATGCGCGCACAGCGTCGTCGTGGGTGTCCAACAAAACGAATCAGCAGGTCAACACATACAATTGCATGGTCTGTGTCCACACATGTGCTCCAAATGGACCGACAGTTCTGGATGCAGCGTCTCCAGCGGTAAATGATTACAATGTGATCGATTTGCGTCCAAGCCTAGTTCGCTGCTGTTGGGCGCCAAGTCACCCTTCGGCAGTTGCTGTGTCGGAAGTTACTGCTCACAAGAAATAAGCGGGCATTTTCACACAAATGAAGTAACCGCTTCCAGTTGTCATTAATTGAGCGTACACCATGTTGACTGACTAAATGCATTCCATCAATGGATAGTTTTAAAAATTGAGCTTTCGGATCCCACGCCAACACAACATTGTCCGAGCTACTTCTGTGGAGAAGATGCTCGTGCATTCGGTGGTAGAATCCGTCTTTTGCCGAATCATCGCCGCACTTTGTGGGTGCACAGGCAGCGATGACGAATAAACCCCTGCTAGTCCCGTGCAACTTCGAAGCTTTGAACGAGCCAGTCAATCAAACCGCACACATCCGGCTGCTGATTGGAATCCAATCAACCAGAGCAGCAACCGCCCGGGGACTCAGGGCAATGCCAACACAAACTTGGCCAGTGCTCGAAGCTGCATCGTCCCCGGAAAGTTGCAATGAGAAAATGTTGCTACTGTCACCGGAAGAGGACCACAAAGCAAGCAAAATGCTCGAGTCTTGCAGGCAGGTCTCCCATAAGCAGCAGAAGTCGATGTAGAGGGACTCTAATGTTCGGGCAAGCGTCGCCTGTTGTCCGATCTGTAACAGTGTGCGTACATTGAACTATGCCAATCTGATGGAGAATCAAGGGCTTAAAATGGAAGATGATGAAGTGGGGTACAAAGCTTGGTTAGACAAGGTTTTCGACAGGACAGAAGTGATGTGCCGCGTTTGCATGAGTTGAAACTAGAAGATAAACGCCCAGCAAATCATGTTGGGGAGGGTCAAGAATCGGGGGTTGAAAAGTGGGGGGGATAAAAGTGGAGTTGGAAGGGTACAATAAGGGTGAAAACGCGTAAGAGGGGGACTAAGAAGACGGGAAGGCTTGAGCATTAGCACCCAAAGCCCTTTCCACCCTGATCGATGCAGCAGATAGGCCACCGTTTATTATCCTCTGCGACGACCAGAGCATCAAGAAACCGATTGTAGAGAAATTAATTGTATTGCATGAGCAGGATACTGTCAGGTTTGCCAAGGCTTAAGCAGGACAACGATTAGGGTTCTCAATCCAATCATTTAGTTAAAAAACCTGACTGCAAGGCAGCGGGGTTGGCGGTGAGCTACAAGGAGCCCGTTCTAAGGAATAAAGAGCCACCCTAACTCCAACCCCAACCTGGAGAACAAGGACGCTGAATTTGACCAGTCTGTTATGAGTAGCCCTGCAGGTGCACAATAACACAGTAGTATAGCTCATTGGATCTCTGAGGCACGTACAGCATCGCACCACGGTAAGGTCCAGCCTCATAGCGATGGGCTCAGTCTCATTGCAAAGCTAATGTCAAATAGCGGGGCCACTCTTGCGAAGTAATTCAGGGTTGACTGGGACGCCGTAACATAGATAAACAGTAAAATTTTAGTCTGCATAATTAAAGTCAACTAGCTTATTAACAGGTAGCACCCCAATGCTTGAATCGTCAAATTCCGCAGGAAAACACTTCAAAATGGAGTCCATGGAGGCTTTGAGCAACATAGGGAAATTGGGAAAACATGACCAAGGCGACTTCTTGTTGAAAACGTATTAGAAATGTCACCGTAGACTATGATGCACTTGTCGTGTTTACACATTTCACGGAACACCTTTCTATGCATATAGTTCAAACAGAATGCATCCAGTGACTGAACCGAACGCACGCTTGAAGTCAAGGAACACAGCTATTGTCCGTGTGCTATTTGGGTGGCGCTGCTCTCACCCTGCCTCAGAAAGAATACATGGTAGCTACTGCCCGGTCCTGAACGGAAACCTGCCCGCTCTGCGCTACTCAAGGATTCCCTTTCGCAGCGAGACGACGAACGAGTATTGAAACAGACCTCTGTGAAATGGGCGAACAGTAGATCCCTCCTAGTTAACTGTGTAGTGGTTGACTATGTAGCCCTACATACATTCCAATTGCTCCCCAGTACCGGGTCCGGAAATCCATTTGTGTACAGACGCCGTTTGGGCCCTGTCCTACTTGCTAGATTACCAAATAGTAGGATAACCCATACAGCACCTCGTACATTGTTAAATGCGAATACATAAGTATTCCAATGCAATTGTGTCGGTGGACATACTGATCCTTCAGAATCTACGTCGTTCACCATTCGATCACTTATGGCGAGTTCATTAATTATACTTGCGTACAAGATAAATTTCACCAACAGATCACCGCTTCAGTACTACAATTCGTAGAGTAGTATGTACGAGCTGCATGAGTGAACCATGAATTAGCGCAATGTACTGCACTTTGTCAAAAGTAAAGGTCATCGGTTTCTCTGTGACCATCATTCAACAGCACATCGTCTAATCAAGTACATGGTTGATAAAGGAGTACTCCTGATTTCCTCGAAATTTGGACGAGAATTTGTAACTCAGTTTGTTCTTTTGGCGGTAGCACAGTTTCCTGACATATTTGTCACTGACGCAACAACACGCTGATCGTAGGGCACTTGCTGCCGTTAAGGGTGATATGCCGAGTTACTGTAGCTGGTCAGCAGCTCAGCAACCAAGGACTCGTCATCATATTCTTGACGTTTAAACATGCATGAATTAGGCACTGTAGTTGCGCAAGACCCACCTGCAAAGAACCGGCCGTCATAGCTAAAGTCAACCCAGATTACCGATTCTTGAAAACATATACCAATTGGAATATGCGAGCGACAACTTCACTGGTGGCCTAGTCAATTACAAACAATGGAAACGTGAACCACTTGTGTTCTATAAACCGTACTTCGAAAATATTTCGCAGGAGCGGGTCACACTTGAATTGCTCCCAGGATCAGTTGATTCCGTGGAACCATGAAGGCTGTTGTAACCTTGGCTTGCTAGCACGCAAACGAGATTACAGCTGTTTCATCTTCTGTGTTTGCTTTTGAGATGAGTAGCATCGGTGAAGTCGTTTGAGTTGTCGTAACAGATGGGCATGGTCTCTTTGCATTTAGGATGATTCAGTTGCTGTCTAAGGTACAATGACATGACATATACAGTATTAACGCTAACAATCTGTGACGAATATGATTAGCCATTTTTTAGGTGCATCCAAATTTTTCAAGTAATTGTTTATCTAACGTTAGCAATTTCTGCAAATTCACCTGTATGAACATACCGAAGCACTGATGTCAAGTAGCGCCCGTACTGATAGGCAAAATAATTTTGTTTTACGTTTCAGTTAGACGGAAAGCATGCCGAACTGCCGCAGCTTATCAACGGCCACTTGGAAGAAGTGAGAGTCTTTCGTGAACAAATCCGCAGGATAAAAGAAGTGGTGAGAATGGAAAAACAGCGTCGTAATGAAGCTGAAAATGCGTTAGGGAAGGCACTGTATGAGCTAAAACACCTGAGAAAACTGGTTGACGATCAAAAGTTGCTTGAGAAAGAAGACCTTACGCACGCTATTGAAAAGTTAAAAGCGGAAAATGCTGAAAGAGAAAAGTTACTAACGGTTAGTGATTCCTGTAACCTTGTGTAATTGAACGGTAAGATTCAGGAGCCACTGTGTGGATTAATAACCTCGTTCGTCTGTTTTCGTTTTTACAAACGAAACAGTCCTGGCCGCTTTATCTTCTAAGACTACTTGAAAAGCAACCCAGGGAATTGTCTGAATGATAAGGGTAGGTTGGGTAGCTGAAGTACTTGGTAGCATGTAAATCAGAAGAGCAGTAAAGCATGCACGGCGAATATTCTTTCAAGTCATCAGATGAGAATACTGGAGTCTAAAATCTGTGCAATTTGTAAAGTAGTTTATCTCGGTTAAGGGACTAGGGGTTTGGTCCCTAAAAGTCAAAGGCCTTATGTGGAATTTTGGTGCACAAATGAACAGTATAACAGTTAGTTTCCTTTAAAAATTTGAAAAGGACAGTAGAAAAATGCAGGTCTGTAGACACATGAATTTCACATTGGTTTCGTAGTGCCTTTAACAATAACCAATATGCATAAATGTAGCTAACGTTGAGTGCAATCAGGAACATGCCTTTGCAGGCTTGCCAAGCACTGATGAGAAAAACTTACTGAATATCGGTTCGGAGCGAATGACGGAAGAACAGCCTCTACGTCCACAGCAGCCTTACGCTAACAAATGTGTACTTTTGAGCGCAGAAGACTACCTTCATCCAGCTTATTGCGACAGTACCAGCAGACCGAAAGAAGCGGCACCACCTTGATGTAACACAACTTTGAACTCTGAGCATGTCGAGAAAACCGGCGGCCTACGTGAGCACGGAAGTTTTGGGGGTGGGAGACCTAGGCATTTTCATGTTTAGCCCCTATCAGCATATGCTATCTCATTCGGGAAATATGAGTTTCTGTCGGTCCTGCCCACATAGCAGTTTCCTCAGCCACACACGAAGTGCTATGCAAAATGTGACTTGGCTCTACTAGGCTAAGCACACTTCGTTGCATGTGCGAGCAAATTTTAGGTTCGTTTGATGACGACAACTTGTGCAGCATGACAGATGTTATAGGTTTATTTGTCTTCAGCTTGGTTAAGTCGCCTTATAAAGCACGTCGATATAAACATGCTTTGCTACCGTATTCACCAAGTCCTTCGGTCATTGCGGTTAGTTGTTTCTCGATAAGTCTTCGAGAGTAGCCGTTCGCCGCTAATGTTGGTGTAAGTAATACTAACTCATCTGGCAGCCAGAAGGCTGACCGAATTCGTCCGGCACGACTAACTATAGTCATTGCAAGCGTTTGCTTGTACCCCACTGGTGCAACTGATAAAGTGCAAGTTATTTTGGGCACATGGACCTCTTACACTATCCATCAACCACCAGCCTAACGTGGATGTCCAGATATGGCAGACAATTTATCCGTTCTTAATACATTCTTAATACGTGCACGGTGAAGGCGATATGTTGATGATATTTTTACTTTTGTTCATTGAAGCAACAGTGTACAGTTGATAGGATGCTAAAAGTGCCACGGGTAGTTAGCATGTGCACCAATGGACAGGACTTAATCCGAGCAGATTGAGGGAGGCCACACTATCACTGCGCTCACGCACGCACGCTTGCATGCAGGCTCACATACAATTCTATCGGTGAAAATGCAATGCGTCGGCGAATGTGTTGTTATGATTTCATCGTATTCTGATCCAACTGCTTGTCCCAGATTCGTGTCCAGCAAGATTTACAGAAAAACGACCAGGAGACTGCTATTAAGAGCTAGAGAACATTATCCGGCTTGGTTGTACAGTGCTGTGAGGAAGAATGTGACGAGTGCAAAGTTGTCTCAGTGGATTCGAACCACAAAATGAACTCAAGTGATTTAGTGCCAATACAATAAGATAAAAATATATAAGACTACAGGTAGGGTGACAGCGGAACAAGTTAGAACAAGTTAGGGAGCAGGCGTGACACCCCTAGGCTCAGGGCAGCCGTAAGCTTAAGAACAACTGTTTCTGCACACAGAGTGCCGGTTTCATAAGGCTGATCGCGACTGCCTCTGCGAAATGTAGGAAACGGGCATTAGCATGTCTTGACACGAGTGCAAACATTTTGGCCGGATCAAACTGACGGCAGGTGGCTAGTAAATACCTTCCTATGGATGAAGCAGGTGGCTTACGTGAACTGGTGGTATGCGCAACCGACGACTGGATGATTTGACACTGCAACCATTTAGGTACATGTTCCCTTAATCTAGAGTTCAACGATCTGTTGATACGGCCGATATAGCGTACATCACAGTTATAAGTAAATTGGTAAATACAATGTGAGTTGGCGCCAATAGGTAGCCGTTCCGTTATTGGGGTAACAGGTATTCTATTAGCCCGGTTGATAAGAACAGTTTCAGCAGCTTAATAGGTCCTCTGGACTGCGGAACTTATGCGCTTCGTTGTCTTCATATTGGGAAAATCACCATTAAATAGTAACACGATGTAGACCTTTCTTTAGATACTGTTGAAACCTTCTGTCCCAGCACCCTCGCCTGACTACGTTTTTTGATGAATCTTCTTGAATAGACATTTTGCAAGAACGTGTCCCTGAACGAGTTTATCTTAGTACCTAAAATATCGGTAGTGCATATTTTTCTTGCATGGTTGTATGGTGTCCTGACTATGTCCGCCTGTACCGCATTGGGGAGATGCTGGTAAAGTGCGGGTGTCACGCCTGCCCCCTATCCTGTTATAACTTGTTCCGGTCTCACCCTGCCTGTCGTCTTATATATTTTCATGTTATTGCGTCTTCACTGAAGGGATAGTATGAAATGTTGACAACTGTCAGTGTTCGTCTTCTTACAGCTTTATTCAAATTACTAAACTTGTCTAATTTTGTCAAATTTCTCAAAAGGCGAATTCCCGTTGATTCGTCAGGCAGCTTCGTCGTATTTTTAGTCTGAGTTGCAAACGTTTTTGCTATCTTTCGGAAATATCTGTTCCCTCTTACGAAATCACTCTACGTCAATATCCACGTTCGACTTGGAAGGTTTTGCGTAAGAATACGCTAAAGCCCTCCACTGACAATCTCCTGCACTTTGCCTTTGCTCAATGGGACACAGCTTAGTCTCGACTTACTACGTTACTCGAGACGTATTCGTGGCCAATGCCAATCCTGGATGACTTATTGTTGTGTTGCAGGATTGTGTTTACTAACTTCTGCAAATTTTCTCTCAATCGTACAAAGGAGAAATTCAAGATCCAGTGGCAGAATTCACTAGTTAACAAGTGAGAGGAGCCTGCTTTTCGTGACCCCACTACGTACGTGCTAAGCCTGACAAATTTTCCTCTTCATGCCTTACAACTGGAAGAATTATCGTTCGGAATGGATTACCATGTCCCACCTGGTAACCTAAACCGCTTGTTCATAGAGGCACGGTATGAAAACTTTTATGACCAGTTAGCAGGATTACAGGCGTCTAGTCCAGATATGTCAAACTGGTTTAGAAACAAACTAAATGATATTGTCCAGGAGGTCACAAGGACGCCAGTGCGTGAGAAGTGGTTGCTTACATGCCGTCGTCTTTGTTCACTACGAGAGCTGATGACGAAAGAGCTGATTGTACTTAAGTCAGACAAATACTCAGGAGCTGTCATTATGTGCAAGGAAGAATACACACAGAAAATATAAGATTTACTGAGTGAAGATAGTAAATGTAAACGCCTTACAAGAACAGAGGATGTTAGTGAAGTGGAGAGACGCATCACAGAACGCCTAAACATGCTCCTCTTACACGCTGTGATTGATGATGAGGTATATAACAGCCTAAAACCGGGAGGGTTCAACATAATTCAGCTATACGAGTTGCCGAAGACCCATAAATGTGATATACCGCAAACTCTGCGCAACATAACTTGGCTCGTTGGCTGGTGGAATTCTTGAGCCGTTGAAGGAGTATGAAGAACTCTTTCGAGCTAACCGAGGCTTTAAATGAATTTAACCTATCCGGGAAATTCATGGCCACATTGGAGGGACAACCGCTTCTCGCCAATGTTCCGCTACATGAAACAGTTGATTATGTGTGTGAAATAGCAGAATGCTCCGCTTTAACGCTTCCAATGCCAGCCGAGTTATTGAAGGACAGCCCACTAGTATGCACTAAGCACATCGGCTTCCAATCCAAAAAAATTCTTCATCGCCAAATAGATGGGGTAGAAATGAGTAGTCCGTTGTGCCTCTTGCCAACAAATTTTTTCATGTCCATGATTAAAACGAAGTTGGTTGTAGAAATATCGCTTCTTTCCTACTATAAGCGGTATGTGGATGATACTTAAGTGCCTACCTTCTCAGAGGAGCACATGGCGCGTCTCGGCGATCATTTGAATAACATGAATACGAATCTGAAAGTAACCAGCGAAACACAGAAAAGCAATTGTCTCCCATATCAGAATCAGATGAGTCTTTCAAAAGACTGGTTTACCGAAAGTCGACTTGTTCAGGGCACTACCTTCACTTTACCAGCTTCTACCGAATGCGGTACTAGCCTGAAAATAGACCGCGAATCTTGGTGGTCTCGTCGAGCGTCAAAGATGTTACAGGCCGCTGCCATTGGTAACCATCCAAAGTTATCCCGTTTGATACGGGGGACGGGCAGCAGGGGACCTGGTGTTAGTGAAACAATATGGGACAGCCTATTCACAATTTCTAAAACGTTTAGAGCGTTGGGCTGAGCAAGTTGAAAAGCCATTTAATGGGCCAGAATTGTTCGACTCCTCACCGGCCATTTATCGCCCTGTTCCGTGGGCTGCACCTTTGGATCCGCCCTCGCGCTCAGAAGTCAAACGTGAGATCGGACTGTTGAAGTTGAACAAGGCCGCCGGATCAGATGATCTACTTCAAACCCACTTCAACTTCAGCCGCCCTGCTTTTGTTGACGATTTACAGGAGTAAGTAATAAAACTGTGCGAGCAGGAAATGGTCCCAACCGACTGGAGCCGCTCCGTTTTCGTTCCCATCTTCAAAGGAGGCTCGCGTTCGGAATGCAGCAACCAAAATAGAGTCAGTCTGA